ATAATACATCAATAATTTAATACATAATTCCCTTTCTTTATAATTTTTTCCAATGCCTTAATATATTTGGCTTACGGGCTTCCCTAATCATGCAAAACGTGTGGTTTGAGCACTGGGAAAAAAATATTCATCATCTTCATCTTATCCAACAAAGTCATGATGAAAATGGTGGGTAGATCCCAAATCATGTCATGGAATACAGCTGCTTTCAAATGTTGTTCCCACTAATGATGGTTGTTAGTTAGGGATAAAAGGCATAGCTGACTTCAGCTGGAAGCTGTACCTCTGCTCACCAAACATCAAACCATAATTAATTTCAGAGCATATTATATCAACATAATTTAAACCCTGACTTCTTAAATACCAACTAAAATCTTAATTAATTATAACTTAGAAAACTTAAATAAAATACACAATACAAAGTAACATGACTAGACTTATGTTAAAACATAAGTGATCATTATTAGTAGTTTATATTAGGGATGAAAATATATTATTAATAAAAATATAACAAAATATTTAAATTATATAAGAATTTAAAACTTTTAAGAGGAATTACTGCTTCTGTTGGGACCTTATCTCTCCCTGTGTCTATACCACTCTCCTAATGAACAAGAAAAAAATGAGAAGAGAGAGTGGCAGTCATTTTTTTTGTTGTCCTTCAGTTTCAAAGTTTCGCGGTTGACTCGGGTCGTACATTTGGTTTTAGTTGATGAGTCTCCCAGTAGATATTTTTTGCATACATAAGGACTCGAACATGAGATCTTGCTTAAACGATATCAAACTATTTATCATTTGAACCAATCCGTTGGTGAGAGACGGTAGTCATTGCTCCTTTATGTTATTAGCATATAAATTAATTTATCAACTTATAATCCGGGCAATATGGTTTTGGGTAAGGAAAATGTCACATTAACTAGTAGACACATTAGCATGGCATGCATGAAGACTAAAGATACATGCATCATGCACATTTGAAAGATCTTAGCAGGTTTATGTTTCATTGTCTGATGTTCAATCTTTCAGCAGACTACCAACACTTATGTCATATAAATACATGTATAAAACAATTTTGGGTATTTTATTTTATTTTGTTGCCCTCCAGCTCCAAGGCTTCGCTTTAGGTAATGTACACTGAGCCTGGGTTACACACTTGAGTCTCTCAACGGAGATTTTCTGCATACACAGACTCGAACCTAAGACCTTGCTTAAGTTATATCAAGCTGCTTATTATTGGAAATACATTTTTTTAATGCAAATTGGGGGCATTGGGAAGGATGGGAAGAGCAGAGATTCCATTTTCCTTAATGGAAGAAAGGGATGGGGTATTCCAACACCTGTTATCTTGACCAGGATTCTTGTCTCCCATGCTACCTTCTTCCCAATACAAATATAATAATATTATAAAATGAGTTTATAAAAAAATAGAGTAGATTAATTATATTAATTGATTATTTTCCTTAAAACCACAAAATGTACAAATTAGTCACTAAATAATAAAATATTATTATACGAAAAATGGACATTCAATCAAACAACTTAGAAAATGATAATACAAATAAATAACATTGTCGTCTACTGTCGTCTGTGAAAGATAAGCATCGTCAATATTAACCTAAAAATACATATAGCAATGACAACACATTGATAATCTATTTTTAACAACTTAGATTAATTATATTAATTGATTATTTTCCTTAAAACCACAAAATGTACAAATAGTCACTAAATAATAAAATATTATTATACGAAAAAAATGGACATTCAATCAAACAACTTAGAAAATGATAATACAAATAAATAACATTGTCGTCTACTGTCGTCTGTGAAAGATAAGCATAATCAATATTAACCTAAAAATACATATAACAATGACAACACATTGATAATCTAGTTTTATCAGCGCTCAATCTCAATCTATTTTTAACGATTGCGATAATATATCAATATGAGAGAATTAACATGAGAGTTTGAATCTATCATATATTAGAAAGATATGCAAATAAATGTCAATTGGAGAGGAGACATTAAATCCAACCCTAAAAGTAAGAGGAAAAAATGTATTATAAGAATATAGAAAAAAATTCACCATTTTATTAAAAGGAGAGGACTTATTGACCAAAATAACACAAAAAAATTTAAGTGTAAATTACACCATTCATCTATAAATTTTAGTCCCTCTTATTTCACTATTGTATTTTCAATTTTTCTAATTTACTCACTGAACTTTCGAATTGTTCTTGTTTTGATTACTACAAATTATTTTATTATTATTCTATGACATGACATTTTTATATATTATTAAATATAAAATAATTTAAAATAAATAACAAAACAATGTTTTATTATTATTAAATTTAAAAAGATTAAAAATTCTCACTACCCCTTCTCGTCACCATCATTCACCTTCAGCCTTTGGAATTGATAATCATTTGATCCCAAATTGTACAAAGAGACTCACTTTGACATACTGAGTACGAATATAGTGGTTGTTTCACCAGAAAATATCCCGAAACTCGTGAATCTCGATTGAAAGATTTCAGTTTCCTCATTTTCGGTCTCCTTTTCGTGGAATTCAGAGCATGTTTTGACAAATTGGAGGTCGGATTCAGACTCAGGGGATTGAGGTGAATCGACCGATGAAATCTGAGATCTAACAACCACCATCTACAGTCGTCGACGTTTTGATTTCCTCAGTTTTGATCGGATTCAGAGCATGTTTGGACAAAATGAAGGTTAGATACAGACTCAAGGGTCTAGAGGAAGCCGCCAATGAAATTTGGGAACAAACTACCACCATCGACGGTCGTCGACAGTGGCGTCCAACAACAGCGAACAATGGACCACCACCATATGGATTTAATTTTATATTTTATATTATTTTTATATTAAATAAAAATTTAAAATGCCACATCATACCAAAATAATAATTAAATAATTCAGAGTGATCAAAGCAAGAGCAATTCAAAAATTCATTGAGTAAATTGAAAAAAAGTAAAAATATTGTGAGCGAAGAGTATAAAGTTCAATAGTGAATAGTGTTGTTACTCTCTTTTCAAAACAAATAGTGAATGGTGTAGTTTACCCAGAATTTAAACATATATAAACAAAAAAAATTAAAAAAGAAAAAATGAAGAAAACATAACTTACTATGATATAATATGAGGTGGCAACAGTATAACTAAAGGACAGTGGCACCATCTTTTAAACAAAGAAAATAAATGAACTTATGTAATAATTAAATTAATATAACATCATTTAATTAAATTTATTTTATAAAGTAAATATTTTTTCCGGATATTATAAAAGTAATTATTTTGTTAGTGTTCTTTTAGTAACATACATGATCTTTTTACTTTAAAGTATATTTTTACCCATCTAGAACAGTGGCCTCTTAGATGAGTAAAATCCAAGCCAGTATCACTTGGAGCTTCTGCTGACATCAATTCATCAGAGGCTGTTTTTCACCTAACAAAAGGGGACCGTACATTTACGAACTCCACAAACTTTAAACAACAACGATAACACCAGCTTTTTATAAACCTATTATGAATACAATAATAAACTCTATGAAAAAAGAAGACAAGCATGGCCTGTCGCTGTCAAAGCACAAATGCTGGTTGTGGATGATAATTTAATGTGATGATAATTACAGGATGATTAGAGTTGCTAATCATCTCACTTTTGTCATAAACATCCGGTCAAAGACAAGAGCATAATTCTGTCCAAAAACTTTCTTGGTGTCAGGAAGGTTGAATTGAAAGCACTGAGAGCTCCTTTTACTCATAATGTAAACTGCAGATGAGAGAGAGAAAGAGGGAAAATATAGATCCCAAAGGACCCAAAACTAATGAAAATCTTACTAGTAGACAAGTACCCTGGTTTCTCATACATCGTTGCATCAATACCCGTGTGTATGTGTGTGTATATATATAGGTCAAAATGTTGAAAAACTGTTTGTGATGATCGGTTTACCATATTAATTCTACTGCAAAACTCTGCAGATCTCCAAAAACCTGAAAATTTACGACGAAAATGTCTCCATCTCTCTCGAGCTAAGCTAGTCAAACAGACCACTTATTGAATCTGTCAAGAAATGAATAGAATCATGTGATTTTTGTGCTCTAGCACATCCATGTGTGGGGTCCCTTTGTGTCTGTTTTGATGCTCACAACCTATACATACACGTATCCTATTCTTAATCTATGTGTGTAAAGACGGATGTATAATTTTATTTTTTTAAGTACAAATTTTAAAAAAAGTTATATTAAAAATATATAAAAAAAAAAGATATTTAAACTATATTCGAATTTAAAATTTTCAGACTCCGATCCATCCAAGCATGTGTGGTAAGAAAAGAAGGGATTGAGAATTGGCAGCAAAGTTTGACATTTATGAAAACACATCACAATCACACAACCCTAAAACTGCATCATTTAATGATTTTTCGAGCTCTCTTTTTTCATTAATGAACCCAACCATAAACCTCTTCAACACTCTTAACCTTTGATCTTCATGTATGTATGGTAAGGAAGTAATATGTGCTAAATATTTGGTTGTTGATATACCCCATATAGATGGACACTTGGATGCACCAAAATGATGGTGATAATGGAGCTTGCCATTGATAGTGAATAAATGGAGAAGGTGGAAATACAAGTGTTGTTCCTGGGACTGAAATGAGCGGTTATACCTACATGTGTCAGAAAAGGTAAGAAGAAAACATTGGGGTTTGAATTCAAAGAGATATGGGTTCTAAGAGAAATACTGGAGCAAAACTCATGATTTTAGCATAAAAATATTAAGGGTATATAGAAAGAGGAAAAGCAGTAGTATACACTACAAGTACAGGAGAGAGCAGATTTTGAAACGGAGGATTAATTGAAATTTGATTGATAAAAAGAGAACCGTTCGGAACCGAGAAGGCAAAACCCGTGGGGTCTCATGAAATCATTTTGGTAAAATTTAAAGCATGATTAAATGCAAATACAGTAACAGAGAGAAAGAGAGCTATAAATGTGACATTTCCATGTTGGTTTGCTTATATAAAGGAGTCTAAGATGCTGGCTTCTCCCTTCCTTTAAGGGGAAAAAAAAGAACGAAAGAGAAGCTCTAAAAGAAAGTTCGAAGAATTTTAATGGAGGAAAATCTCAGTCCATTAGCTGTTACTCATCTTCTTCAACACACGCTGAGAAGCTTATGTATTCATGAGAATTCTCAATGGGTTTATGCAGTTTTCTGGAGAATCTTACCTAGAAACTATCCACCTCCCAAGTAAGCAACCAAATTAGTATTGGTTTCTGTAGGTTTCCTTTTCTTCCAAGATAAAGGATCTAACATGTCTGACTCATTCACAAATGTCATAATCTCTAATTTTATAGTTTTTATGCCTTTTGTGTGCGACATAATTGTTTTTTTTCCATTACTTTTGTTGATAGATGGGATGGTCAAGGACCTTATGACAGGTCAAGAGGCAACAGGAGAAACTGGTACATGCCAATCCATGCATATTTGATAACTTAGTTTGATATATTACGCCTATCTTCATAGTTACGTATTGGACAAAATTGCAGGATATTAGTTTGGGAAGATGGTTTCTGCAACTTTGCTGCCTCGGCAGCTGAAATCAACTCCAGCGACTGTCCCGGTTCCTCGGTCCATGGCAGTGGTGAGTTTCAACAGTATCCAGGTCTGCAACCGGAGCTTTTCTTTAAGATGTCCCACGAAATCTACAACTATGGAGAAGGGTAAAATTATTTCCATATGCTGTCAACATTGGGTAATTGATAATATTAATTTCAATCCAAACTGATCTTTTTTTATCTGTTAACATCGGGCAGTTTGATAGGAAAAGTAGCTGCAGACCACAGTCACAAGTGGATATACAAAGAACCGAATGAGCAGGAAATCAACTTCTTGTCAGCATGGCATAACTATGCAGACTCGGTAAGCATATACATACATGCATACATACATATAAGACATATTTACACCCTTTGGTTTTCTCACAAAATCTTCTTTCGGCAGCATCCTAGGACGTGGGAGGCACAGTTCCAGGCCGGAATAAAGGTATATACCGTAATATTGAACATCACAAAACTCTCTTGTCTCGAAGAGTTTAGGTAGATCTACAGGTACTTTACTTGCTTTGAATTGAATTAATATCTTTGCAGACCATCGCTTTGATTGCAGTTAGAGAAGGTGTCGTCCAACTAGGAGCTGTTCACAAGGTCTTCTCTTTCTCTCTCTAAAGCTACACAATTTGCTTTGCGATCATGTGTCACTGACAGTACCATATATGTTACTCAAAGGTAATTGAAGACCCGAGTTATGTGGTTCTACTAAGAAAGAAATTCAGCTACATAGAAAGCATTCCAGGAGCACTCTTGCCCCATCCTTCCTCTTCCGCTTACCCTTTTAACGGCACACCAGAACCGTGGGCGCATTTCCCGTCAGGGATGCTGATTGCACAGCCGCCGCCCTCGCCGCCTGAATTCTACGACCATTTCAGTCAGCCTACGAAAATTACTCCTTCCATGAGCAGCCTGGAAGCCCTTCTTTCCAAGCTTCCATCGGTCGTACCACTGCAACCTTCTCCCGGGTACTGCGAGTCTCAGCTGGTACAGTCACCGTTCTTATCATCGGAAAGGCCCGTCGAATACAATATCGGAATCGAAAAAGTGGCGAAACAAGAAATTGATGAAGAGTATAGGCCGCCTGAACAAGATATGGTTGAAAGTAGCACCTCCATTTCTGCATATCGTCGTCAACAACATTATCATCAACACCACCCCCATGATCTCAATCTAACAAGCTGCAGGCCCGACGATGGATTTTGATATAGCAAGTAATATTTGGAGTATCATATAAATACAAAACATATATATATATTATAGTCCAGTTCTTATATGTAGATTGTGCATGGGAACGGTGCATTGATTTTCTCTAACGTTGAAGTTAGGCGATGATCATTTTCCCTTTGTCTCATTGGGGTGTTAATTTCTACTAAAATATAGCAGCTTTCTTTGCTGTTGAAGCTTTGTTTAGTCCTAGATTCCCAGCTAGTATATATATATCATCATTCAACTATAATGGAACTTCATCTTCCATCCCCCATATATATGAGCTTAAATTCCTTTTTAGTATATGATTCTTGAGAAGATTGTTTCTTTGGTGCAGATTTATATGATAATAAGGATGATACTTCACTGCAATTCTTCCAAAATGATAATTGCTTTAAACATTTAATTATTGGCAAACGAAAAGAAACTTCATATAATAAGAAAATGAAGTATTAATAGGGTTTATCAATTAGACAATTACCCTATGACACTATATTATTTGTTTCCTGTGTATAGTCAAAGAAATTAATTTTATAATTTTCTTTCCACGTTATTAATATATATTAATGCATCTCATGTGTTAGATAATTATAGTCATTGCTAGAATATTTTCTTTTGGATTCGATCTTCTGCGCTTGCAATTATCCACATAAAATAGACTATTTTTTTGAACTTAAAATCGTTCATCACTTTTATACACCTTATCTTGAGCGGTCAAAGGACTAATTCTTCAAGTTGAATAAAATACAAGTACTAATTATTATAGAATTTATCCTCATATTTTTTAAATTAATATTTTTATTGTGTCAATACTCGTAACTATGGTTTATATTCGCCGCTAACGAAGGCTAAATACATCACATTAACAAGGGTAACCAGAACAATATGGCTAAATACATCAAGTACAATTATACATGCAAATAAAACAATGTCATTATAAATATTTTATATTATTAAAAAAATCAACCCAACATAAAATTAAGAACTTCATTTTTATTTTCTGGAATTATTCTATTAAAATATTTATTCTATAATAAACAAAAAAGTTAGTTTTACATGACTTTTCAAAGTTTTTTTTTATTTTCATAAATTTTAAAGAAAACAATTTTTCTTTAGTTTTTATTATTTTAAAATATAAAACCACATATTAAAAAACAGCTGTTCACTTATAACAGTAATGATTAATGAAACTGTTATAACCAGGCCTAAGACTCAATCTCCAGATAAGGCCATGAGGCCAGTTGAGTCAATAGTAATGGGCTGTGGATCACTTTATCTAATTAAACTTTACATATATGTATATGTATATGTTTTTTTATAATAAAGTTTAGGTTAGGGGCGGCTCCTCCAGTCTAGGATCAAGGAATACCTAATATCCAATTGAGATTTACATAGGAATTTATAGATTGTCCACCAAGAGTGACGGTGATAGGATTCGAACTTAATCTTACAAATTATATGTATATGTAAATGCGTGTGCAGAATGTAGAATGATTCCATTAGTTAAAGGAAATTTATTCTTTATTGGTGATTTGGGTTCGAACAACTAATTTGTAGGAGAGACAATCACATCCATCAACCCTAGGTCTATCCATGATCATATGGATTCAGTGAGATGGGAACCATGTACCAATGGATCACAGGAGAAATGGTAGTAGTAGTAGGCAATGAGAAAAGTAGAGGTAGCTATAAGTGGAACAAAAGAGGCAAGAGGGTGAGTGGGCAAACAATTAATGTTGTTAACCCTTTACCGTGCTGGGTAGGGCAGTGGGCACACTTCAGAAATAGTGAATAAACAGCAAAGAAAAAGGTGAGGATGTTGAGAGGATTAAGTGAGGACTCATGTGCGAGCATGTGAAATCGGGTTCCCACCACTACCACATCCAGCTCAGCTCAAATTCACTCTCATTCCTTGCCTCCCACTATCACTAGGCCAAGTCACCCTAAAGGACACCCATTTACGGTGCCAAATGTCCATCAACCCCCGCCTCCACATTATATTGTTTTTTTAATTAAGGTAAGGTGATTATAAAGTAGTATATGTTCTAGACATTTTTAATCATTGGACAATGAACGTTGAATCACCCTGCTGCAGTCACTGGTGCTCGAACACGTGACAACTAAGAACAACAATGATTCATTTAACCACTAAGGTAAATTGGTTCGTGCGCTTTCATACTATATTGTTAAAATATTATGATATAATACATATATTATCTTTTTAATGGAAAAATTAACTTTAAATATCCTAAGAGACAATCACAGACCTTAAACATGAACTAGAAATTAATCACAAACCTGAAACATGAACTATAAACTAATTTGAGAAACAACAAAACAAGTCACCTCTTTTCTTACTATTCCTATATCAAGTAGCCTATTACCTCTTAACAAGTTAATGGTTTCTGAATTTTGGGTAAATTACATGTTTAGTCCCCCAATTTTTAGTTTATTTTTTGTCATTCAACTATGAAATTTTTAAATTTTGCTCATTTATATCACTCGCTCATTAGTTATCATCATTTAAAAAAAATTGGTAAATTTATGTAACCCCGTAATTTTTTTCTCAAACTCAAATATTCAAATTCCTTTTGATTCATCTACCCCATAATGTTTTTTTTTTAAATATTAACATTGGAGAGCTTGGAAGGAGGAGAAAAGTAATATATCTCAATTCCAAGCTGATTGGACAGTAGATATTACATATCAGACCGAGATTACTTTAAAATTTTGGTTTAAGTTTTATCGATTTCAAGGGAATCTCGAGATTTCAAGGGAATCTCGAGACAAATTAAACTAGGAAGAAGAAAGATGAGGGAAAAGGGAATACTATGAAATATGTTGTGTTGCAAACAATAGTTGACGGCTATAGAATGACAACAAAGCAGGATGACAATCATGAGAAATAATATTGACTTTAGGTAAATTTCAGAAATAAAAGCCCTAAAACATAGTGTTTTGGTGTCAGGACTAAAGAATTAATGTCTAAACAACCTAAAGGAACACAATTTAAAAGTTAGATGATCAAAACAAAAATATATTGAAAACTGAACGACTAAACATATAATTTATCCAAATGTTTTTGCAAAATCCCAATCCCTCTCTTCCAGTTGTGAAGTGCAAAATGGGGGGAGGGGTAATTTTACTCTTTTCATCCTCTTTCCAGCCTTTTAGTAGAAAAAGGAACGAAGATGAGGGAGTTTCATTTTCAATTTAGGGGCCTAGGGGAGCCGAATAGAATGAATTCCAATTAAGATGCATAATCCAAACTCATTGTGTGTTGGCTAATAATGTAGCAGGAAAATGGGTGGATGGTGATGTGACTCTACTTTCCCTCAATAAAATATCGGAGGTAAGCAAAAATACCCTGCATCCAAACAAGGTTCTGTTTCTAGGATAAATTAATTATTTAGTACCTAAACTATCAATTTTAGTTTATTTTAGTACCTAAGCTTTCAATTTTCTCAAAATCATACCTAAAGTTTAGTTTTTGTTCCATTACAGTACCTCGTTCGAAATTTAATGTTAAGTTCAGGAAAAAAAAAGTTAAAGGTACTAAATGAACCAAAACTAAAATGAAACAAAAACTAAACGTTAGGTGTAGTTTTTTTAAAAAATTAAAAGTTTAGGTGCTAAAACGAATCAAAACTGATAGTTTAGGTATTAAATGTGTAGTTTACCTTTTTTTAATACACCACAAGAGTTTCTAGAAGAAAAGCAAAGATACATGTTTATTGTAAAAAAATGTATACACCTTTACAAATTGTAAACTCAAAACATCAAATTTTGTTTTATAAACCCTTAAATTATTTAGGGTATTTGTATTGATTATTTGTGTTTGAAATGAATATCATGAAAAGATTTTTTTTAAATATATGAAAGAAAATTTTAAAAAATTTGAATATAATTTATTTTTATACTTATATTATAATAAAATATTCGAGTTGCATAAGTATATCTTAATCTATTGATGGAGATAGCCTAAGAGGTGGTTGTAATCTTCCAAAAAAAAATGTGTTTGCTCTTCTTGTAAAAACCCTCGGGATAAGAGTAATATAAGTTACACATAACTCTTGGGAAGCACTACATATTTACATAGACTGAATATTAAACCGATTTTTTAAGTATTCATAATATTCATAATCTCTTCTCTCATCAAATTATAAATACAACTTATAGTATTTACACTTTATTTTCGTGACACTTTAATATTAATGACACATATCGTATATTCGTCATTTAATTTTATATTATATTTTATAATAACATTACACATTATTATGTGTGTGTATGTCTAGAGTAATGAATTTTAATCTATCAAATGGAAAAAAGTAGGGAAAGGGGAGATTGGCAGAAATGTAGAGAGAAAGAGTAGGAAATAATGAACGGGGAGGAACTGAATGGTCAAGATAACTGAGTTGGCAATCCACACGGTGAGTATGGGCCGAGGGGTGCAAGTGCAACAAACCGTTTGTGTGAAGGTGGAGGGCATGGGGGCCCTCCATATCGTATCACTTGCTCATCATCCTGCCTTGGTCATACGTATTTATATACCCATCCCAATATGATTTTGATATAAGTGTTCCATCACTAACATGTTTAAATTCGATGTTAGTGTTCGATCGATATATATATTGCAAGAATACACGTTTTTCTGTTTTGATGAAACTAAATGTAGAAAAAAAGGAAGGGATGTGGCCATTTTCATGTCCAACGAATCAATTGGAACTTAGCGAATTAAAACTTGTCGGCAACGATAGCCGGCCAGCCGGCCCTCCTCTTACCTCCAGGACAAGCCACATGGCTTTTGCCATCTTTCACCCCCCCCCACTAGCCACATGCTTTTAAAATGTACTATTGCTCCAACATCTATATATGTACCAGGCTTCTCAAATGTCTCACTTTTTGCATTTTTATTCATACTTGTATAACGTGTGAAAGCTTACGACCGTAATATGGTAATAGTAATTAGAAGATATTATTCATGGGCGGGTTTGTATATTATAAGGGGCTAATCGGGGATAACCGTCTCTTTAAAAATATTAAATTTTTAAATATTTTAGATATTTTATCATGTTTTCACCGTCTTATAATTTTATAAATTTATTTTTAAAATATTATAATTTTACCCCTAACC